ACCAAACACTCAACTTTTATCAAGTAGACGACTTCAGCGTCAGTTTCAGGTGGATTTTCTGTGGAAAAAAAACTCGAAAATGGAAAACTTATTTGATTTCGAAGGCTCTTTGGACTACAGAGCGTTCGGCACTTCAGCTGATCCAAAAGAAGAACTCATCGCAAGTTTGACATCTTTCATAAAACTCTACAGTCAACATAGAAATCGCCTTCAGACCACTTCAGAGAGCTTCACAGCTGCTCAACTTCATGAAATGCCCGTTTCTGGGAGTCTGGCGTTCCACAGTATGTGCTCTTTCTTCGGAGGAGTTGTTGGTGCAACTGGTGGAGGCCTTTCTGGTGGAGTATTCGGGGTATTTGGGGCGATTGGTGCAGTAACTTTCAGCAGGTTCTGTGATTATGATATTAAGGCGATCGGTGCAACTGTCGGCATTGTCGGCAGTGTATTAGGTGGTGTGGCTGGGGGAGCGCTCGGCGGCGCTGTCGGTGGTGCAGTCGGAGCTGCAGTTGAAGCAACAGGTAGCCGAGTTGATGCCGTCATCAGCGATGTAGCATCGTTCGCCATCGGCTTCGCAGCTGGTAGTGCAATCGGTGGTATTTTTGGAGGGGCAGTTGGAGCAGCAGGCGGTGCGTTTGGTGGTGCTTTTGGTGCCTTGTGCGCTACGAAGGTCGTTGTGAACATAGTGGGAGAAATGGTGCGTGCAGCCAAAGATTCAGACTGTAAAAAAAATACTGTGAACGTGATGCAGAAAACTGGAGATTTCAGTGAAACCATCAAACTGCTGGTGGCAGAGCTGAAGACAATCAAAGCTCGTTGTGACAAAATGGCCTCCAGTGACGTTGTGCGCAGTGTCGCTGGGCAAACGGCGAAGATGCTGGCTTCTGTCGCCATGATGGAGGAAACTCTCAGGGTCTCTCAGAGCGACACAGATCGGCCACAGTTTGTTTCCAGTGTTGAAGAAGCGGCGAGACTAAGCAAGAACATCACAGAGGAACTGGAGACGACGAGAACAGAAGTGGAAAAACTTCTGGTTTTATTGAGGAAACCCTGAAACAACATCAGTAAACCAAGAACTGGACTCAGAATATCTTTTTAAAACTTAATAACTCATTAAAAACAAGTCTTCTAAGGTAACTTGGGTAAATTAAGTTAATTGTACTAATTCCTTTCAATTACCGTAAAACTTCTAATAAAAGCAGCGTCCCTAATAGAAGCAGGTCTCCTTTAAAAGCCCGGTGTGGCTCCACGTTTTGACAAATAAACAAATAATAAATAAATTCAATAGAGAAGCAGCACAGTTAGAGTATTTCCATCTTTAAGAGTTTTGTGCTAAAGGACTTAAACGCCTGTCTCCAATAAAGGCCGGGGGAGTTCAGTGATTCAAGCAATTAAACGCCCAGGCTATTATTAGAAGTTTTACGGTAATTTAACTTAAAACCAGTAAGTATGTTACACTCACATACAGCATTTCTCCAAATGTGTTTAAAATGTGTAAACAAAATCTGAATAAAGTAATTTAAATGATTTTTCTTTATACAAACATTACAACTTACGCTGAATTTACTTTGGTTTTCTTCCACTAAAGCAAATTATTATATTTCCTGTCAAAACAGCTGATGTATGATTAAAAACAACTCACAATTAATTTCTCCAGAATGAATTTCAGTTTAATCTAATCGTTACTGCTGTAATTAAATTGGTGTTTTTATATGACTAACATCAAATCTTTTTTGGGGATCATTAAGAATTATTTGGATGCACATTTGGGCTTATAATGATTAATAAACTGAAATAAATTAAGCACTGTGGTTCCTTTTACAATGATATAAAGTCAACTTAAATAAAATGAGTTAATGGAACAAACTGGCATTAAATCACAAATACTTCAAATAGTTCACTTTTCAGTTTTGTTTAATGTGAGTGACTGCGAATGCAGCGAACACATTCAGTATTTTGAAGTATTGATCTAGTGATTTAAAATACACCAGGCTTGAACTCATTTTAGTGTGTTAAAGGATATGTGCAGTAAAAACCTGCTATAATGTCCCAAAAGTGATGTATTTTAATGCCGCATTTGGTCCAATATATCAATAATAATCAGTTAACTACAATATGTGACAGTGTTTATGCATAAAATCATTACATTCGAGGTTCTTTAATCAGTGAATTTGTTAATTAAAAATGATCAATTTTGATGATTCCATGAAAAAGGACGTTGTCATGACTGTAGTGTACATGATCCGATCTTAATGAAACTTCACGTTTGATAAGAGTACCGCCCTGAACACGTCTGTGATAGTATTCTGATATAGTGATAGCGCCACCTACTGGCAACAGGAAGTAAGCGCTGCATGGCATTTTTGAACAGTGTCTGAAATGCGTGACGATGTAGAGCGGTCTCTATCTGCATCAGACGATGAGGGCTTGGCCGTGGGGAGACACACCGTGGCCCGGCTGTGGCAGGCGACCGCCGTGCAGGCCCTGAGGTGAGTTGATGGTTTGACGGCCCTAGGGTTGACCTCTTCCTCTTGCTTTAGTTGTTTACTTTCTTTGTTTCAGGAAGTATGGGGTGGAGCTGCGATTCCTCCCTGATGCAGTTCACCTGAGCAGGCTGGGCTAAATCAGACCTCAAGGCTTTCTCTCTCTCTTCCCCTGGCCTGCTAACTGAACTGTTGGTTTTTGTTTGTGTTCTGGGTTTTACATTCATACATATACACCTCACCCTTCACTCACACAGTCATTGCAGACATACTAATTTACTGATAGACAGATTAAACTGTATTGATTATTTTGTATTTATTTAATTAAATTGTGTTAACCATTCACAGACTGTGTGGTGTCCCTCTTTCTCTCACTCTTTTGAGCCAGGTTGTGACAATGGCGAGTTCCTGCCCAACGCTGCTTGCAGCCTTAATTAAATTTATTTTTGCTTAAAACCTTTAAATTCTCTGTGTGGTCTCCCTACTTTGTCATAAGCCTAGAGCGGGTTCATGACAAACATGCAATGTGTTTCCTGTAGTGTGCACAGAAAGTTAGTCTAATTTATTTGTTGTACTAGTAAAACAACCTGAGCAACTTTTACATTCCTTTTTGATTGGTTATGTTCAGCTCCGCCCTCCTGCCCTCACTCCTCCGCTTCCTGCTCTTGACTCCTCCGTACAGATCAGACTGTACAGGAGTTAACTTCACCTACATTCTGTTGGGAACAGAAAAAATCTATCAGGAAAAAAACCAACAGCAGGCGGTGGAACAGACGACCGACTGTAAGTACCCAAACTGTGATCTGTGAATCTGTTGTTAAAGCCTCACTCACTGCATGTACGGCCGTGTTTTATACTTAATTTCTTATACATTTTATGTATGTATAAGTTATATTTTGTGATATTTGCCAAACTAGAACATGTTGTAGGAGCTAGTTGAGATTTTCTTTTTTTAAGTTTTTTTTTTTGGCCTTTTATTGCCTTTATTTGATAGTTACAGATGAAGATAGACAGGAATGGGAGAGAGGGGATGACACGCTGCAAAGGGCCAAACCCTGGGTCGCTACACTCAACCTCGGTACATGGGTCGCCAGCTCTATCCACTGAGCTAACCGGGCGCACCAGATGGTTGAGATTTTAACGTCATTGCAGAGTGCAACCTTCCCAAACTGGAAAAACAGTAACGCCCATTTTACAGTCATTAATGACTTTTAATAATTAATTATAGATGAATTAATTACATTTGCATTCAGATGATGCATTAAAAACAGATATCAAATATATAACTGAAATTTACACTTTTATTCTGTTCTTAAAGAAGAAATTAATTTATTTGATTGAAAGCGACTTACTGGTGAACATAGTGGAGCCAGATATTTCCCTTTATAGTCGTTAGACAATAAAAACAGAGCTAAAGGTGAGTGACTATTGGATTTACATTCAGTATTCTTGTTCTGCTGCCCCCAAGTGGCCAAAAATATCAGTTATTAGAGGTTTGAAGTCGAATGGAAATTGAATTAATAGGTTTATTCAATTGTAAAAGCTTGTAATTATCTAACGTAACATAAAAATGACTGTCTAGTATTCAGGTTGCCTAATATTTTACATAATGGAAATCAGATCAGGGAGTTTTAAAAGCTCTTCTGT